AATAGTGTGGGTGTCAAAACAAAAGCAGTTTAAAAACGATTTCTTTCAAAAATATTTTTGAATTGAGTTTCCACATTTTCATAAACTTTAAACCATTTAAATCACATATTTTAGTATGGGTACCAAATGGGAAAGGTTTACGACAAATTTATTTCTAAATATTTTTAAAGATTCAATTGCAATAATCTTAAAAGATTAAACGAAAAGTTTTAAGTAAAAGTGGGGTCTATAAAATAAAGTACATTTCATATCCATAATTGACGTTGATCATACCAATACTACAATACCAAACTACGGAAAACATGGCAATACCGCAATGCTTTTCTCCCACACTTCAACTTGTCCCAAACTGCATTTTGCGCCGTTTTCTGCATTTTGTTGCCGATGAATGTACAGGCTGGAAGAAGACTTATCCAATTCGAGGTTTTTAATAATAATAATATCCCAACGGTTTTTACCCTCCATTCCCGCCCATCCGCACGAGGGGCGCAGTCCGCATGACGTACGGAACCAATATTTTAAATTTTTGTGCCGAGTCACGATAGGCAGGAGTTTGTTAAGTGTCGAGATCTAAAACTGTTCAGCTACAGAACTAAATTCATCAGCTGATTTTATGTATTTATGTCAATAATTCACTTATTGAGAGAGGAGAGTATCGCTTTCTTAATGCTGAAAAGCGGATCTGATATATCAAACGTGCTGGAATGAGAGTTAAAATCCTGGCATAAGCAACGGAGTGGGTCGTGCAATTCAAAATTGGTTTTACAAGCTTTCAGAAATATGGGACAAAAGTGTCTTGATACGCGTGACGGAACATTAAAGCTTACATCAGCCAGAAGAGACTGACTTGAAATTGAGCCTGTCAGTAATTTAACCATAAAAATTATACCAAGCATTTCCCTGCGACTGGCAAGTGTAGGAAGGTTAATAAGTTTTAAGCGACTCGTATAAGGTGGAAGACTATATTGAGAATCCCATCGGAAATTTCTTAAAGCAAAAAGTAGGAATTGTTTTTGAATTGATTCTATCTTGTCTGAGTAAATTTGATACCTTGGATTCCAAACCACCGAGCCGTATTCCAGAATCGGCCTAACTATTGTTGTAAACAGGGTTTTAGTGATATACGGGTCACTAAATTCTTTTGACCATCGTTTCACAAATGCAAGTACACCTTTATCCTTGTTGACTGTCACATTAATGTGAAGATTAAAATTAAGCTTAGGATCCACTGTGATACCAAGGTCCACAAAATTGTATACCTGTTCCAGGTTATGGTTACCTATTATATAAGAAACTGGCAGAACAGCTCTTCGCGAGAAGCACATTACTTTACATTTCTTAAGATTTAGAGGCATAAGATTTACTTTACACCAGTAAGCCATGCTGTTTAAGTCTGATTGTAGCAAAGACCTTTCTTCAATTGAAACGTACGATTTATAAAGTTTTACATCATCTGCATACATTATTATTAGTACGTCGGGTATACCCGCGCTGCGACCTAAAAGATCTATTGTGCTAAACCCTGATTGTGGTCACTCCAACCTTAGGCTATTCAAGAAATTAACCACATTGGAGGGTGCCGTGTTCCAAATCTTGGATGGAGAAGACAATCGTTCCCCAAGGTGCATCAGTCTGCTATTCATGATACGCGGGCAGTCACACAGAATGTGCTCCGAGGTTTCCTCCGCCAGCCCACAGAACCTGCAGTCCGTCTCTACAGAAAGCCCCATTTTGTTTAGATGGTACCTTAGCTTGCAGTGTCCTGTCAGGTAGCCTGTAATAGTCCTAAGACCCTCCCGGCTGAGTTCACGGAGTCTTTCTGAGTTCCTCTTGGAAGGAGTTATGAATTTCTTTGATTGTCTCATTCCCTTTGACTTACGCCAGTGGGCAGCAATCTGAGATTCCTCCCAACTCCTAAGTAGTTCTGCAGTGTATCCTATATATGTACCACAGAAAGGCTCGGGACCATGCATTCGCGTTTGGGCCCCACGTTTTGCGAGATAGTCAGCCCTTTCGTTGCCTTCAAACCCTTCATGCCCAGGGACCCACCACAGCGTAACTCTATTATGGGCTCCTAGGCTATTCAGAAGAGTTTTACAACTGTCCACAAGCCTAGATGTCGTTTTAAATGAGTCTAAGGCCCTTAGTGCTGCCTGGCTATCCGACATAATGTTTATTCTGGCCCCGTTTGTCCTTCTCCGAAGACATTCTCGAACACAGACTTCGATTGCGAAGATCTCCGCCTGGAATATGGTTGGGTATGAGCCCATTGGCAGACTTTTCTGGAACCTTGGTCCAAGCACGCCTGCCCCAGTACTCCCGTCTTCCATCTTTGATCCATCGGTATACCATACTTGGGACCCTTTGTCAATCATAGATATTATCGCTTTACAGCAGTCCCTTTCAGGAATTCTGACCTTGTAGGGCTTATCAAAGGATAATTTCGGTAGCATGATATCTGTGAGCTTGATAGCGGGATCATCCAGAAAAGGCTTGAGAACCTCCAAGTGACCCCAAAGATCTCCACTCTTCATGCTGATTACATTGGGCAGCCGTATGGAGCTCCAGCAGGCCTCCTTTTCTATCAGAATAGATAGAGGAGGAATGCCTGTAATTATACCGAGGGCATCCGTTGGACAGGTGCGCATAGCTCCTGTGATGGCCACACAGATCAAGCGGTGTAGCTTGCTCAAGGTGGCACACGCACTTGCTTTCTTTGCTTTTGGCCACCAGGCCAGTGCCGCATATGTGACAACAGGTTTCACGACCGTATTGAAAGACCAATACGTTAGTTTGGGTGATATTCCCCAAGTTTTACCATGGAGTCTCTGGCAGGCATAAAACGCCCTTGTAGCCTTGTTGGTAATGTTAAGGAGATGTGAGTTCCAATTGAGCCTTTTGTCCAGAGTTACCCCTAGATACTTCGCCTCTTCTGAGAACTCAATTTCTGTCCCTGCCAAAGTGGGTTTAGTCAAGTTGACTTTCCTTCTATTGGTAAATGGGACAACGGTGGACTTCTGCGGGTTTATTGACAATCCCTTTGAAGCACACCAGTCTTCCGTTAGACTGAGCGCAGCTTGCAATCTGGAACAAATTGTGTCCTCATGCCAGCCGACAACGTAGATGACTAGGTCATCTGCATATCCATATGCCTTGAATCCATTGCCATTTAGCTTTTCAAGAAGTTCGTCAACAACCAGTGTCCAAAGTAGGGGCGATAAGACTCCCCCTTGAGGACAGCCACGGGTGGCATTTACTGCTTGCCTGTCGTCTCCTAGTTCCGCTATTATGGTTCTGGACCTCAACATGCTTATGATCCAATCCGTTAGAAGGACAGGAATATCCTTTCGTATCATAGCTGTCGATATTGCTTCATAAGACGTATTGTCGAAAGCACCTGATATGTCCAGGAATGCACACAAAGCTATCTGTTTATACCGCAATGCCTTTTCAATGACTTGAGTTAGGCTATGTATTGCAGTAATAGTAGATTTGCCTGCCTGGTATGCGTGCTGACTCTGACACAGAGGCTTATTCCTGAGAAAGTTATCCCTTATGTGAAAGTCAATAAGTTTTTCTAGTGTCTTTACTAGAAAGGAACTGAGGCTAATTGGCCTGTACGCCTTTGGGAGTTGTGCTGAGTTTTTCCCCACTTTGGGTATAAAGACCACTTTGACTTCACTCCATGTTGTTGGTATGTGAGCAAGTAAGAGACTTGCTCTCAGCAATCTGACTAGTGGCCCTGATATTAAGCCCAAGCTCTGCTGCAGCAGGCATGGGAAGATACCATCTGGACCAGGGGATTTATATGCACTAAAGGTTGAAATGGCCCACGATATCTTTTCCACACTGACGATTCTTCCTGCTAGGCCTCTAGTCCTCCTGTTTGCGCACACAGCGTTCGCCGTGTTTGTCGAAGGACATGTGCCTTGTGGAATACATCCCGGGAAGTGGGTTTCCAGCAGAAGCCTGCTGGTTTCTTCCGGGGTGCCAGTGTAGGTACCATCTGGTCTTTTCAAAGTGCATAGGACTTTCGGATGATCTAGTTTAAGGGCCTTCTGAAGGCGATGCACCTCTGGAAGAGAGGAAATACTTCCGCAGTGCTCACGCCACGTAGCCCTTTTAGACCTTCTGAGCTCACAGTTGTAAGCGGTTAGGGCTGACTTGTAGGCGGTCCAGTCACCTGTTGACTTTGCCCTATTGAAAAGTTTTCTGGCTCTTTTCCTTAGTTTTCCGAGAGAATCGCTCCACCAAGGGACATCCCTTTGAGACTTTTTGGTTCTCAGTGGGCAGCTCTCTTCAAAACCTTGTTTAAGAGCATCTTGGAACTTTCTCGCCTCGTCCTCAAGTTCATAGACGGATGAAATTGGTGCGGTAGAACCATTCACTTCCCGCTCTATGTGGAGGCGAAAGAGTTCCCAGTTTGTTTTTCTGGGATTTCTGTAAACATGGTTTGTTACTCTTTGGGCTTCTATATCGAATCGAATATGCCGGTGGGGCGACATAGATACCTCATTTGAGACATGCCAGTTTGAGATAAAGGTCGACAAGCTAGTTGAGGAAATTGTCAAGTCTAGAACCTCCCCTCTTATAGCATTGACAAAGGTCGGCTCATTACCCCGGTTAAGAATAAATAAGTTGTTCTTAGTGATAAATTCAAGAAATGACTCACCTCTAGAATTGGTGTCCGAGCTGCCCCAAACACAGTGATGGGCATTGGCGTCACAGCTCATTATTAGTTTCAGCTTTCTCCTTCTGCAGTACTCCTCTAGGGCTATTACTTCCCTTGTGGGCATCTCACAGCTGCCGCCTGGGAGGTAAGCTGAAGCGAGAACGACCTCTTGTTCTCCCATTTGAGTGGGCACTTTAGTCCATACAGCAGCTAAGTCCTGTTGTGTCAACTCTGAAATGGGAACAAAAGTCATGTTATTACGTAGTAATATGGCCGCTCTGGGCCTGCAGTGTGTGGTATCGTAGATTATCTTACCATCACAGTCGTTTAGGCCTTTAATAGCCCCGGCGAAAACCCACGGTTCTTGGATGAATGCGACATCCAAGAGTTCTGTTTTGAACCTCCTGCATAAGACGTCAGAGGCCGCCTTTGCATGATGGAGGTTCACTTGCAGGCACTTGATGTGCCTAGGCCTATCGCTTGGGGGGTTTGCCATTTTTCGGCCTTGAAGCCCGCTTGGCCATCTTTTTCCCCCTATTGGTGGCCATCAGGGTCTTCTCCTCCATTGAAATCTCCCCTCGACCTTGTCTCCGACTCGCATTTAGCGGAGGACGGAAGGGATTTTGGGCGAAAGGGGCCTTTGATCTCTCTGGGCTGGAAGGTACCCTCTTTTCCGTGCCAGGAGTGTCTTCTGAGCAGCAGGGCCGCTCTATGGACTCCTGGACAGGTGCTTTTTCCTTCTCCGCTGCCCCTGACTGCTCTGAAGGTAACCTTTGCAGTCCCTTGGGTACGTCCTTGGAACCGCAAGGTCCCTCTTTGAAGCACGCACTTTGTGCAGCGGAGGAGGAACTGGCTATAGCAGGCTGCGCACCCTTCGGGTCTGACGACTCAGTCGTCTTCCCTTTTTTATGGATGCGCACCCTGCCATATCCATAATTGACTAAGTATCCCAGCCTGTCGAGTGTCTCCGCTGAGTGCGGGTCAACCGCTAGAGTGAGCTCAGTGGTGGGTCCCTTCTGTACCCTGTTGAGCACCCTCCAGCTACCTACCCGCAGCCCTTCGTTCTGACCCTCGACAAGGCCAAGGATACTGTCCACTGGAGTGGTTGATGGCTCCGGAAAGTACCCAACGTACACACTGGGTTTGGGCACGTCAGTGGCATTCATTGCCACAATTTCCGCGCCCTTCCAAGGCTTCAGGGTTTGGGATACCTTGCGCAGCCATTCCAGCGTTATAGCGTCTCCGCAGCCAATGGACATCCATCCCGGACGGAAGGTGCAACCGCTAAACTTGGGCTTCACAGAGCCCTTTCGCTGCCGCCTCACCTCCTCCAGGATGGCCGTCTGAATGGCCTGTAATTGGTCTAAGGACCAAAGTGCCTTAGGGTACCCTTTGGGGAGTAACCCTAACTTAACCCCATTACCAGTGTCCGCCTGACAAGTCGGCGCCTTTGTGACATCGGCAAAAGTTGCCTTAACACTAGGTACCTTTGGTCCCATATGGGCCCTTTTGTCAGCTGGACCTGGTTTCCGTTTGGGAGAGTTCTCCACCGGGGAAGATGTGAGGTTGACCGATCGGTTCCTCTTAAGCTTTGTGCCAGCCAGCAAAGCCAGTTCGGCTTTTCCTTTTGCCATCGGAATAGTGGCTAGCCGTTTGGCCTCGCTTTCGCTGACACCTCTGGAGAGGTAGAATTTGTAGCGCTTTTTACCTGCTCCAGAGAGTTTTCTTTTAGGAGTACTAGCTTCCTCCTGCTGTGACGATAAGAGCGCCTCCTCCTCGTCTGTGGGTATTTGGATGTCGTTGCCATTTGAACCAGAGTCCATTTTGGCAGTATCGACATCCATGGCCACCGGGTTGCTGAGAAGGCCGTTTGGATCAAAGTCCATTTCGTCCATTACAGCGTCCCGAGAGGGTTGAGCGCCTTGGCCGTTTGGATTTGCACCCAGTTCGTCCGCCGCAATCGCCATTTGTTCAGCAATCTCGTTGGGCATCGCGTGCACCTCTGAGACTGCTGACTGTTGCCCACTGTTAGAGGGCACAGAGCTTTTATTGTTTTTTTTATTAATTTGATTTTCTTCCATAGAATCCCACGAGTAAGGGGGAAGAGAGAGGTCATCCGAGGCAGGGCCCCGGTACCCCGGAAAGACTAAATAAAACCAGACGGCGCCACGTGACTGGAGTACACCGTAAAAAGACACACTAACGTAGTGCCATTCAGTCCGCAGGCACGGTCCGATTAACACCTGGACTTACGGATTTTATCGAGTTGTTCTCTCTAGATCCGCCATATTCAGTAAAAAGCAGGGGCACCTCTCGCAGGGTGTGACTCTTCGCCACGTATGGTCGGTCTTGAGCCATCGACAGCCCCTGATCCAGAGCACTGCATCACGTGTGATAACAGCACCAAGAACCTTGACCCCCATACATTAAAATTTTGGAGAATTTTATATCTGTAGAAATATCGTTTATAAAAAGCAAGAACAGAATCGGGCCTAGGTGGCTACCCTGAGGGACTCCTGCAGTAACATCAATGACGTCAGAGATAGTATTTTTAAATAATACCCTTTGTGATCTATCATAGAGGTATGAAGAGATCCAACGTAGAAAATTAGGTGGAAGACCAAGAAGATCAAGTTTATAGATGAGCAACGAGTGGCACACTTTGTCAAATGCTTTACTGAAATCAGTATATATAACATCAACAGTTTTGCTCTCACTAAATGCTTTTGAGATATAGGATGTTAATTCAAGTAAATTTGTAGAAGTTGATTTGCTCTTGCAAAATCCATGTTGACTGTATGAAATGCTTGAAGTGATAGAATGCGTCAACCGATTTGTTATAATTGCTTCAAATAATTTAGGAATTGCAGAAAGCTTAGCTATGCCCCGGTAGTTCTCCACTGAAGACCTGCTACCGCTTTTATGTAAGGGGGTTATGAACGATTCCTTCCATACAGTTGGAAAAACGCCCTCTTTAAGAGACAAATTAAATAAGGCTGTTAACGGCTCATAGAGATAATCAGCACAATTTCTAAGAAAACAAGTGGGGATCTGGTCAGGACCATAACTAAAAGACTGCTTTAAGGACTTCAGGTAAACTAAAACATCATCGGGAGATATTATAGGGTTATGTATTGAGTTAATTGGACTTAGTTTAAAAGGATAGTCAAAGTATGCTTGGGAGTTAGTGGAATAATTGGATTTAAAAAACTGAGCGAACATGTTAGAAATTGTTTGATTATCACCAGCGACGGTATTTTGATACTTCATGGCGGAAGGAAACCCACGTACATTTCGCTTGGAGTTTACGAAATCATAAAATGATTTGGGGTTATATATTATACGTCGTTTGACTTTACACAAGTAATCTTTATAACACTTTTTGTTTAATTCAAAGAACTTGTGACGCAAAAGTGAGTATTTTACATAGTATGAGTGTAAGCCGGTTTTTTGTGTAATCTAAAATAACGTGACTTTCTGTTTTTCAAGTTTCTCAGTTCTTTAGTGAACCATAACTGTGTTTGTTCTACAGGAACACACATGCGTTTAGGCACATACTTTTCAAATAATCTATGTACAGTAAAATTAAAATGTTCAACGCTTTGCTCAACTTTTTCTTTGTATATAGGCCACGACAATTTAGACAATTCTTTATTCAGTTTTTTAAAGTTGGCTTGCGAAAAATCAAAGCGAGTATTTGGCTCGTATGTTTGGACATCGCAATTTTGACCATCGTTTATAATTTCGTAAGATATCTCAATAGCAGGGTGGTAGACATCTTCGGGCAAAACTAGTGAGTCACATTTATTCACAGCCGACTTAGATGCATCATCAACATAAACAAGATCTAATACTTTGCCAAACTTATTGCGAAGTACATTAACTTGATTCAGGCAGAGTTCAGCCATCTCCTCTAAAAATACGTTGTTGCACGCGCTAGACGAGAAAGGTACAATATCATTGTCAATGATGTTCCATGATACATTTGGTAAATTAAAGTCACCCAACACAATCAATGAATCAGAGGGTTTAATCATTGAATTAATTGATTTCAGTAAAGATACATGTTGTGAATACACTGATAAGTCAGATCGGGGAGGAATATAGCATAGAGCTAAGTAAGTAAACCCCCTTCCAACCTGAACACGAATGCATTTGAATTCTGCAGATTCGATGTGTGGAAGACTAACTTCTTCAGGTGGTATTGAAGAGTCTACGGCAAAGAGTACGCCACCGCCGACTCTGTCCTCCCGATCTTTTCTGTAGATATGATAATTATTTGAAAGAATCTCTGAATTAAAAGTGTGAGGTTTGAGCCAAGTTTCAGTCAAAGAAATTATATTATAATTGCATTCAAGGCCATTAAGATATAAATTCGTTAATTTAGTATTTATGCCTCTTACGTTTTGATAATAAATACTTAAAGCAGATTTAGTAATCAGTTTTTTGGTTCTGTATTCTGACGGGGAATATTTGCTAAATTATTATTTTTGTTGGGCCTATACTCAAATTCACGAACGAAAGCTCCGGAGGGCCAAAAAAAACTACTAAGCAGCATGTCAAAATTTTCTAAATTTACGTCTATTTTAAATGAAGAAATATTTCTTTCATATTTAAAATTAAATTTTCTGATACTTAAGTTGACAGTTTTAACTTTGGACGAGATGTAAAACTTTATATCGTCCTCGGAAGTATCCCTCGAAAATCTAGATACAAATATAGACTTCTTTGGGGGAACCACAACCAGTCTCCTAGTATCAGACTCGATTACCGGCGGACGGGGTTGAGTAACTGAGTTACTAGTTGAGGGTATAGTAAGCGTTGGAAGATTGGATGGCGGTGCCACAATTTCAACGGGGGACGGGGAAGATACTGCAGGGTCGTTATTATTAGAAGCAGACTTTGATATATGTTCTTTTGAGGAAGATAACTCCGTTGTCTGTGGACATGGAGAAGAAAGGTTATTAGAAAATACTAAGACTCGATATCCTGTACTATTTCATTAAGCTTTTTAGAACGTTTTATTCATACCTCAGCATCTTGCATCATGAAATATGATGTCACTTTAAAATAACTTTCAGTTAATCAACCTCGTAGATCTAATACATTATTTGAAAGTTTTAGTTCATTCATAATCACTTTTGTGAAACCCGAGGAGTCAAACCCATAAAGTGGCCCATACAGACGGTCGCTTAGAATAATAAGAATAGAGTATCCAACTATTTTTTCTGGGTTTTTTTATACATTTTGCCTTGATTTCTTGGCATAATTATGACTTCTCGCTCACTAGTAAACAGATGCGTTATTCTTCCCAATTGCAACAGAGGGTACCATATTTTAAGTAATTTTACACTGAAAAATAGTCAAATAACTTAAAAACATCTAACTATGGAGAAGTTTTTATTCCCTTAAAATGTTAGAGCTTCTTAACTTTAGCACTACTATTTTTTTGAACAGCTGGTTTTTGGTGCATATAGACAAATGTATCATAAAATGGCAAAATGAAAAAAATGCATTTGTCAAGGTTTTTGTGGCTTATTAACATTTTATTTTTAATATTTTTATTGAGAAAGAAGTCTGATGAGGAGATGTGGTTATCCCTGAAATAGCTGCTATAACTTCTATCGCTTAGACTTTGTTGCTTTTCAATTTTTCCTAATAAACAATCATGGTACAAAGCTCAATAAAAACATTAAAACTGAAAAAAAATGTTAATTTCTTTTTTATTTTCCTGTAGACAAATGGAATAAAATAAAATGACATAAAAAAGTTAATAAATGTAGTGAAAAAAATAAAAAAATAAAAAAATGTTAAATAAATTAATATGTATAATAGTAAAAGTATGCATCTAGTGCAAACGGTGGGATTTAAAGTCGTGTTCTCTAATTTCCAGACATCTGACGACCGGTACAGTAGGGTAAAAGCAAAGACAGGCGACACTGATAAAAGACGGTAATTGAGAAACTAGGAATGGTAAGGTTACACTGATACAAAAAGTGTAATATTTGAGGGCCGATGTCGCTGCAGCTTGTAAAACTTGTGTTTAGGAAATATTTTTTTTTATTTGTTTTTAACATATTTGTGTTTGCTTTTAATATTTTACTAACCTTCTCTTGTATTTTAATTTTTTTAAATTTTTCAGGATTTTTAAAAAATAGTTTTGCATGAAGGAATTAAAACATGAAATTTAATACAAGAAAAAAAAACATGTAAATAAGAAATTTTAATTAAAAGTAAATTATGGAAAAAATTAGTGAGGAAAGAATAAAATGAATTAATAAAACAAAAATAATTTGTTAAAATAAAAAAAAAATAATTAAATAACATTAAAATAGAAAATTATGCACCTAGGGCAGCCACTGGGATTTGAACTCGTGTCTTCTAGGTCATAGACATTTACCAAACGGCGGGTAAAATCCGAACAAGCGACACTGTTAAAAAGGGTAAATGCGAAATTAGTGAGGAGTTGGCAACCCTGGTCCCACAAGCATGATTTTTAACAGCAGATGTCGCAACTGCCAGCATTACCACATATTTCATTGGCTAAAGTAAACATTTAGCCAAAATACTAAATACGTACAAAATTATGCTTAAAAATAAGTCGAAAAGGCTTTTTTTATTAACAACTCAAGAAACTAAACTAAAAAAGAGCCGCAACAAACTTTCAATTAGACAACTTTTTCTTGGCATACAAAATCACTCATAGCATCAACAGCGCCATCTATTATATAAATCAAACAGCTTTTGTATATTTTAGCAACAAGCAACTCAAGTATGCAATTAATTTGCCGTTACTTCGACTGGAAGGTTGGCATCTTCTGTAATCACGCTTCTGTGAGGTCGGATTGTGGAATGGCCTGAGGCCGGGAGTTCTGTGTGGTGGGCCAGTTCATGTTGACGGAACGTCCGCACTAAGCCTGCCATCAATATGGGTGCCATGGAGGAGTCCAAGGTATTCAGGTTGGCTAAGGAGGGATGTACCGGGCCAGGGGTGAAAACCAGCAGCCAAGAGTTCCCGTGGTAGGCAGTAGTGGGATAGCGTACCGGAGTGAAATGCCACTACCAGCCCGGCCAATATGGTTAGACCGCAATCTTTTGCAGAATTTTTTTATTTTTATTTAAAATAAATTTATTTCTTTTCTGCAATTCTTATTAAATTTTTTAATTTTTTCTTCCTTTTAAATCTATTTTTGCAGCGTTAGCGTGAAAATTTCCTATTAAATTCTCGGGCAAAAAATTTTATTTTAAATTGTTTTTAACTAATTTATTTTTTTTACTTTAGCTTTTTGCACTTTTGGTTTCAATTTAATTTTTTTCTTAAGTTTCCATTTTTTTATTTTGACTTTTTCTTTCGGAATATTTTTATACCTAATTTTTTTTTTATGAAAACCGCATTTTTTCTTAAAATCTTTTATTGTTAAGGCCAGAAAAACAAAAAGTTCATATAAAATGACGCACAAGAAATAGAAAAGAAACTTTCTTCTATCAAAATTTCTTAAAGCAATATGCAGCTCTCAAAAAAAAATTCTCGTTTAAATATTTCTTCAAGAAAGTTTACAGCCCGGCCAATATGGTTAGACCACAATCTTTTGCAGAATTTTTTTATTTTTCTTTAAAATAAATTTATTTCTTTTCTGCAATTCTTATTTGCAGTTATTTTTATTTAAAGTTACTTTTTCTTAAAATTCCTATTTGACTTTAAATTTTTTATTCCTTTTAAATCTATTTTTGCAGCGTTAGCGTGAAAATTTCCTGCTATGAATTTTCCGGGCAACAAATTTGTTTGAAATTGTTTTTGTTTTTTAATTAATTTATTTTGTTACTTTCGTTTTTTGCACATTTTTTATTTCAATTTAATTTTTTTCTTAAATTTCCATTTTTTTATTTTCACTTTTTCTTTCGGAATATTTTTAAACCTAAATTTTTATTATGAAAACCACATCTTTTATTTTTATTTTGTTTACTTTTGCAGCCTTAAGAGCAGAAACGTTCTTCTATCAAAATTTCTTAAAGCAATATGCAGCTCTCAAGAAAAAAATATTCGTATAAATATTTCTTCAAGAAAGTTTACAGCGACAGCGAAGTATTTCTTTCAAGCAACAACAATAATTAAAAATATTTCTTCTGATTTTTCTTGAGAACTGCCCGTTAGCTAGAAAAAATTCCTACTATGAAATTCCCGGCCTAATTCTCATCTAAAATTTCCAATTTTTAATTTTATTGTGCATTTTTATTTTGTTTTGTTTAATTAAAATCTGAGTTTTTCTTCTGCCACGGGTGGAACAAAACAAAAATAACCCGATTTTTGGAGCAGACAGATTTTACGGAAACCCTGCGATTTTATTTAACTTTTCTGTGTGAACTTTATGTCTTATAATAAAACAAAGAACCACAAATACAAACAAAGCAAAAACTACAACAAAAATTATTGCTTTATTTATTAGGATAGTGCCTTTTGTATAGAACAAAACGCCAAACACCGTCTGCCAAAAAAAGTATCACAAATCAACGCGATTTGCTAGCGTCTTGAAATTTTCACTTTCACGTACCTAAATTTAATGGGTTACCTATAATGCATACCTAGAATTTTTCTAAAAATTCTGAATAAAAAGTTTAAAATTTTTTGGTGTAATTGTTAAAATTTGTTGAAGTTTATAATTTTTGTACGAAGTTTTAAATGTGGATTTATGTCGTTCTGGTTATGTAATGTGCTGGACTTTTATAAAAAAATGTTTATGTTTATAACATTAAATAAACAAAAGAAAAACCAAAACTGGGCAAAATGTCACTTAACTTCATCAGCTGACCACTAGGGCATATAGGTAACGGGCGAGTCCGCGCTTCCCCCCCACAATTTCAAAATATGTAGTACTATCTAATATTAAATCTATTTTTAAATAAACTGACAGCTCATTTATTGCAATCGCATAAAAGTTTTCTTAAATACAGCCTTGAATTTATACTGTTTATGTAAATTTCCAATTTTTCATTTTGTTCCTCGATTTTACATTTTTTAATTGGTTTAAATTTATTTACTTTATTCAAATTCTTTTTACTTCATTTTTTTTAATTTCCAGTTTTTCTTAAATTCCCAGTTTCTTAATTTAAACTTTTCCTTAAATTTCGAAATATGCAAAATGTTAAATATGTGAAATGTAAAATTTTTCATAAATTTACAAATTTTTATTTATTTTGGTTTTTGGGTTTTTGTGAAATTTAATTTTACATTTTTTAATTTTATGCTGAAAAATTTCCTAAATCTGCGAGTTTTATGTCAAAATAAAATAAAATTATTTTTTTAAATACCCAATGTATTCATCGACCATGGTGGAATAATACAAGGTGTTGGATATTGACAGCGTTCTCGCTCTAATCCGCCATCTTGGCTCCCTTAGCTATATCGGTGTTTCCCTCTTGAAAAAACTACATTTTATCGCCTTTAAAAAAGTACTAAACTACCTCATTCCCTATTCCAAAACTGATTTGCAATCACTGAACAATTCTTTGACATTTACTCTATTCTTATCGTTGGCAACTGAAAATTAAATTAGAAATTTCAACATTAATTCGGCAAAAAAACATCGGTTTAGAGTAGAGAGATTTGTAGTTATTTTGGTCGGTGCTTCCTTCCGCTGCAATTCCGTCTGTGGTTCACTGCCACTGGCCTTGCTTTTTCAACGATATAACTGTTTTCTTGGTAAGTTTAGATGGAAGATTTAAACAAGAACTACGTATTTAACTATGCATCTATTCCCCAGTGATTTTTGCTGCTGCAATCCCGTCTGTGGTTCACTGCCACTGGCCCTGCTTTTCCAACGATATAACTGTTTTTTTGGTAACTTCTACCGCTAAGACTTTGTTGCTTTTTCCCTTTTCCCTAAAAACATAATAGTGCTACAAAGCTCAATAACAATATGGAAACAAATGTTAATAAGCCACAATAATATTGACAATAAATAAGATTTCACTACGATTGAATTTTCTATTAGTAACAGG